AAACTTTCAACATTTTCCATGAAAAATTATACCAATCAAACACAATTAATTACAATTCCCAGTAAAATATTTTCTAGAAAAATCAATTCCCTGTAAAACATTTTCTTTCCACCCATTTTCCACCCTTACAATCAAACGGACCCTAACTGAAGTAACAATGTCAGAACATTGAAATATTATTTCATGTTGTACCCATTAATTTATCTATTTTCATAATCACTTTGTGGGTTCTTTCCATATGATGGACATGAATAAAATTCAAGATTATCAAATTAAGTGTGCTAATTGAAGTGATCAAAAAACCAAATATTTTTTACCTCAAGGCTTCTAGAGCTTTTAGTACTGAGGCCAACTGTCAAGTCCTCTCTTTCTCCTCCCATTCCTCCTCTTCTTGCCTTTCTCTTTCATTTCCCACCAATCACTCTCATCCACACCCAAACGTTGCTGCTCCACCCTAATTTTCTCCACTAATAAGGCCTCCGCAGAGTCTCCGACCACTGCTCTCCAGGCCTCGGCATGCTTCTCCCACTAAGGTCCTGAAAATTTTCCACGTGCTCATTATGCAAATATGTTTCTCTCCCTCGTTGCATCCTCAGACAAGTATTGCCCACTTGCTATTAAGTTATCCATATATGCCAGCATCTGATTCCTGATCTTTGCAAACTTTGACTTTTTAACTCATTTATATGCCAATTGATTTCGTAGTCAGCTTTGGACACATCAAATTCTTTGAATTCCTCAACAGATAATTTTGATCCATACTACTCTAAATTTATCAGATTAGCACAGGATTAGAGCAGGAATCAGAAATTTATGAACTCGCCAAGCAATCCGTATTTGCTTTTGCATTTAATAAAAATAGATTATGTCCACAATCAAAGGCAGTGCATTAAGCATTTCCCTCTGAACCCAAAAAACATCCCCATTACAGTGGGAACGAGTGAAATACAACCTAAACATAAAATTCTATCATATGAATTGTCCATAAACAGAAAAGGGGCCTCGTTATCTACGTCTAATTTCAATAATAACACTCCAACGAAGAATAAGATGAAGGAAAACCCAAAGAATATAAAATAAATTTGAAGGGACTTTGAATAATTTATCACTTTTAACATATTTATGATGAGAAACAGATACCCAATTACCCAAAAATATTACAGGCATATATGCATACATATAAGCAAATAGTTGTGCTTCAATGGTAACCCTAAGACAAATGGCTGAGATTTATAGACAAACAAATAATTCTAATATCGACGAACATATTGTAGTATTCTATTCCGAAAAAAAAAAAAAAAAAAAAAAAAGATTAAAAAAATTAAAAAAAAATNCTCAGATTACATAAATTAAAGAACAATTTGAAATGAAGGAAAATTGTAAAAACTTAAAGAACATATTGCAGCCTAGGGAACAATAGTTGGCTTCTTAGGAGAAACCTTTTCTTTCGTACTTGAGGAAATTTGACTTATATCATTTGCAGCTTCTTGAAATCAATACAGAAAGAATCAGGAAAAGAGTAATTTTATTTCCATTTATTCAGCACAAGGGATGCTTTATATCTGTAAAATGTGCACAATTGTTCGATTATCTTTAAGTTCCACATTCCAATTCCCCATTCTCACCTTCAGCTGCAAATATTTTGTTGCCAGTCATCTTCTTTAGTTGATGATAGCCTGAACAAGGTTTCCTGAAAGTAGCAAATACAACAGTTAATTATAATTTAATGATCATGTCGAATATTTAATGACCGTATCCAAATGACCTCAGAAATTGACGAAACTGACGTAAATCCAAATGACAAACTGATGTGGAGGAAGTTATCTAGTACTGGACCATTTCGTGTATAATTCCGACTCAAGAATACTGGATTATTTAACTTTGACCGTCAAAGGGAAGATTTAACAAGTCAAGAACCTAAAGATATTTGAAGTGGTAGCTCTATTTTTTATTCTTCTATTCGCCGGTTCCTTTTCAAGCGAGCCTATTGAACCTCATTCTAAACATGTTATTTTCTTCTCGACTTTCTCAAAAGTTTCTCAAACGAGGGAGGCATGATACTTCAAGGAGAAAAAACCAAAAATTACTTAAAATGAACAACGAAACTACTTTACTAGTTAATTTATCCACTTTCAATTAACACTGTTTAAATCTATTAAAGAATAGCAAAAGTCTAGTACATTGGTCTATGAAAGGAAATAGAACAGCATAACATTATGAGAGTACTAAAAATAATTTTATACTGTATTGAAGCTCTGAAAGCCATAATAAGCAATTTAATCCAACCCATTAGCTTTAAACGAGCATATGAACACAAAATGAACAAATTTGAAAGAAACTTTTTTTTATCGATTTGCGCTTTTATTACCTTCAATAAGATTAGGTGAACATCTCAAAATTTCCCCATCTATTTCACTGGAAAAGTAAAGAGAAGAAATAGTTTGTAGGTTACTTATATCGAAGCTTTCATCCTTAGTTGCTCGTTGACTGCAACATCTCGTGTATAATGGATTGGTTCATTAGTCTCAAAAGAATTCTATGTTCATTAGTCTCAAAAGGATTATATAGGGACATGAAATTGCCTGGTTTAGCTATCCGAATATTTGCCCAAAATTCTCAATTACCTGGATGAGAATTACCAATATTTGATTATCACTACAATACTTAAAACCACTAAAACAATTAAATTTCAGCTTGTACGTGCAATTATTTAAGTGACTTCCAGAGAGATTCATTTGTTTGGGAGAAAGTTCCATGGCTCACCCAAAGGAATCTTTTTTAAGACGATCAACACCCCAAGCAAGCAATTCCGGAAATAGTCTACTGAACCATCTCGTGCAGCGAAATGAAGATGTGTACTCCATGGGTAGCTGTAACCAATGTTCTAAAAGGTGTAATGCGTTGCGAAGCGTCGACGTCGAGAATCAAGAATCACAAGTTTAGGCGTGTCAATGAGAAAAATAAGCGCCATAATGTGTTTCGTATTTTTAATATTATTTTAATTATTTTTAAGGTATTAAATATATTTTTATATAAAAAAATAGATTTTTTAATATATCATAAAAAAAATTACCAAAAAAAAAAAGAGAAGGGATTAAGCGGGATAACGCGCCGCCCCGTCTTTTAGAACAGAAACGCATTTTTCGCTCATACCCCGAATTCGACGTGTTTTCCACCCGCATTGCGCCTAGGCGCGCGTAGGCGGCGCATTTTAGAACATGGGCTGTAACTATTGTCTGTCACTAAAACTGACAAATACAACAAAATGCTAAAAGAACTGGATTAAAGATATACCTATATCCACTAGTAGAAGAACATTTAAAAACTCAACTGCTGAATAAAACATTTTTTTTTTTGATAGGTAAACTGCTGAATAAAACATGAACACGATCTCTTTGTATTTGACGAGCTGCCAAATGAATATGAAGAATATGTAACATGGTGTGCATTGAACCAAAATTTAAATATGAAAAACCTCCTAACATTCTCATAGGAGACAAACTTCACCAGAAATAGCTAATGAAATGAATATGAAGAATGTGTAACCTGATGTGCACACCTAATGAAATCACAGTGAATGTCAACCAAAATACTGAAAAAAAGACCCAAAATTTAAGTGTCCGATCATGCTCGTGAAAGACAAGAAATAGCATTAGAAGGCCAACTGGCCAAGATTAAGAGAGAGAGGGTTAAAGATCTACAAGTTGTTACTCACTGAGGCTCACAAGCTTGTCGGAGGAGAAAAAATTGGCACTTTCCAAGGCTCTCGTGGTGTTAAACGACCAGCATGATCCATGGGAACCTAGTTTACACATTCGAGAATTACTGGTGAGAATCATATGCAGAGATTTACCATATTAAACATAGATTCAAAGTGAATGCCCGGGTAACACGAGAGCTTTAAAATCGAAATATAATTCCTTTTCAAGGATTGATACAATTTAGGTTCAACAGTTTATTTTCGTTAGGATTCTACTAAATAAAAAGATATTCCAATAAAAAAGTTGCAACTAAACTGAACGAACATGATTTTTGACTGGTGTAACGACACTATGGTCTCTCCAATCGAAGTCAGTGGAAAGATCATTAGTCGGAAGGATCAACGCCCGTTAGCATAGGCAGATAGGTGGAGAAAGGCGCTAGAAATCGGAGCAGGATGAAGAAATCGTGATGTAGTCCTCTCTTTCGGCCTCTTTTGTACATCGTCGATAGAACAAATTTGAGTTAGTATAAAACATTTTGGGTACCATACATTACTACAGTTGCCAGAACACAAAAGAGATATTTTTGATACATATAAAAAGACCATTAGATGCAGATACACATAAAGGAACAAGAGGCAGAACTTCAAAATCTACCAAGTCATAAATGAAGAAAGAGTCCTACTGACCATCTCAGTTATTCGAAGTCACCTGTGACCAATAAGAATCACCCGATCTCCTTGGATTCTTGTAATCTGAGATCATCAAGCCAGCTTGATGAACTCAAGACGATTCTTCTCACGGATAAATAACTTCAAACAATAACTTAACAAAAATAAAGGCAAGAGAATTTACCTGCGCCAGTATACCAACTTCATGAAGGCGATTATATAACTCTTTTCCTTTGAGATCGTATATCTTTTTTTCATCTGTATCCTCATATACTGCCTCATCTTTAAGTAGGAAAGCACCAGCATAAGGAGCTTGCCCTTTTCTACTCTCTACTAAAGCTTCTAACAATTTTGGATCCTGCAGAAAACCAGGAATGGTTGGCAGATCAGCTCTTTAGTTAACAAGAATATATATATATAAACTAAAATGTATATTACTAAAATTCTGAGATGACTTCCAAACAAAGAGTTAAGCTTTCAACTCATCGCTGCTTCTTTCAAATATGTATAAAATTTAGGTAAGTACTATTTGTAACAATAAAAGCTAACAGCTACAGACAGGATATAAAAAACAAATCATAGAGAGCAATCTATGTTGCTAGGATCACATCTTTTTTTTTTTCTCTTCATAAAATATAGGATATGGGGATAGGCTAAAATGGATTCAAAATTTAAATATGGATATGTAGATACATATAAACTTAAAATTAGTTAAATTTGTATACATATGATTCAGATGCATTTGAGTTTAGACAAGGTATTTGGGTACTTGGATAGGTGTTATGCTATATATTTAAATGTAAATCTATAATAAATGAAATTGCAAATTGTGATAATTCACTTGAATTTCATTTCAAGTCTAGAATATAAAATAGAAATTAGAAATCATTTTAAATACAATATCAAACTAATAAAAACGATGTAAAGGATCCTCTTTTGATTTAAAGGATCCAAGAAGGAACCCATACCCTTGTCGTGTGTGTTGAGCATAGGTACTTCCTCCAAAATGAATAAAATGAAGAGTCTAAGCAACACCGAGCAATTAAGAATGTTCACAGTTGAATAACAAAAATTCATAGCATTATTCCATATTGAATGCGCACTAGGTGCCCCTTGAAGTACTCTAGAATTATTTTTAAGTAAATTATCAGTACATCCGACAGAACTTATACCTACAAGAATTACCTTGCAAAGCTAATGCCAGTCAACCAATAAAGTTATATAACAATGTAATGGCACAGGGAAGCAACATAGAATGCCAGGATGTCAGAAAAACAAAATATTTAACCAAAGTACTCAACCATAAGCAGCTATACCGTCACCTATATAGGCATATAAAATCCAGGAAATAACGGCTTGTGTGGCAAGGGTAATGCTATAACCTGCACAAGAAAGAGATTTTGATTACTATATATTCTAAAAATAAAATGGAACAACAAAATACCAGCTCATGTTGAGCATGATCTAATAATCCTCATCCTTTATAAAAAGTAACAATGTAACACAATAACAGAAAATCTGGTCCAAATGAAGATATTTGGAAAGAGTGAATTTCACAATGATGACCAGTAAACTGCCCTCATCATCAGCTGTAAAGTCTAAAGGAATTGTGCATAAATTCAGCTTGGGGGGATTATGAGCGATATACTTAATTGTTACAGTGTTTCTTTCAAACATTAAAAAATGGATCAACTCCCATTTTCCATTGGAATCCGAGTTAGAGAAATTTAAAACTAATAGAACCAGAGAAAATGTCCACTGTTCACATACACTCATCTAGTTTAATTTTTTTTGAAAGGTAATCAAATATTTTATTAATCAATGCATAATACACATGAAGTGTATTATCAATTTAAATCAGAAAGTAACAACATGAAATTAGGCAGCACATCTATATGTCTAGTAGCCACAGCATTAAACCAAGTATACAATGTCAAATAAAACAATTCCCTCAAAAAATACGATAATCCCAACTCCTCACTACAAATTATTCCTCCAAACCTTGGGTATGGAACAATATCACCTCTCCATTGCCACCCCCAACAAATAAGTAAGTAAGAAATAGAAAAACCTTATATTCTACGAACAACTAATGAAGCCCCTCACTTTCCTCCACAAGCTTTGCACTTTCCATCACCACAAATAAAACATGAACATTCATTTCCTCTGTTACCTTTGTGTGAGAGAGACAGACGTAAATTTCATTGTCATCCTAAATACCTATCTTCTAAACACATTGATTTTACATAGACTATATAACCAAAATATCTAATTTCATCATTTAGGCTCATGTGTTTCGTTTCCCAAATATGTGGTTGAATTGCAACGCAGAGGAAGCAAATGGAAGAAATCAAGAAATAATTATTTACAAGAGTAAAAGAAAGCCTCAACACAAATTTGATATGCACTCCTCAAACTAACAAACTTGTGCATACTATACAGATATGTGCATTCTTACATAAAAATCCACCAAATTTTCTCGTGTATATTTTGTATGAGACCAAATTCTCCATTAGTTAAGACAAGCTTGCAACAAAAATTCTATTTTGAACTTTTTCAGTACAACCATTGCAAAAGTGCTCCCGCGTACAAAAAAGTTAAGATTTAAGAGTTGCCATAACCGCAACGTTGAAATTTATTTTCAAATCTTGGATTGTCAAAAAGCAAAATCAAGATTTACCCAATTTTTGATTGCTTATAATAAGATTAAGAGATCAAAAATTTTGAACAATCATACATAAACCCACAGATTCATGATAATTTTTGAATGGTGAATTGAAGAAGACAAATGAGAGAAATTATCTATTCTTTATTGAATGAATTGATCGAATCAATTGGGAAAAAAATACAATGCAACTATATATATACACAGAGGGGAAATTAAATGAAGTTAAACAAACTAACCGAACTCTAACAGAATTGAATAACTAATTTTAACTGACTTAGAGCTAATTAACTTTAACTAACTTTGAGCTAACTTTTCTTCTTCTTTAGCTTCTTTGATTG